TGGGAGGATGAACACACCTGAGTTGTGCTTTAAAGCTCCTTCAGGCTCAGCAGCATCTCACTGCAATCAGGACCTCCTGGGCAGGGCTGAGCCAAGCCATCCCCTCCTGAGGAGCAGCACACAGAGGGCATGCAGCAGGTCAGGATCATGGACCACACACACCTCCTCCTCTTCCTCCTCCTCCCCTCCCAGCAAAGCTGACTGCAAGGGAGGACAAAAGTTTTTCAAGCTTACTCTGATCATTAGCAAATCCAAGCTTGACCTTCTGCATCTTCTGTGATGGTACCTGGCTGTGCTAACCCAGCTGGGATGTGGCTGGAGCAGAAGGAAAACCAGCAGAGACTGGAGCAGGGGCAAAGGACCCCTCTGAGGAGATGATGTAGGTTCTTACATTTCCATTTGGCCTCTTTGCTCTGCTCCTCAGGGAACAATTCAAGGGATTGAAATAACACGAGATCCCATCACTTCACAGTACATGGCTCTGGAATGGTGAAGATGCCCTACAAAACCCTGAGCAACCTTCAACATTATCCTCTGCAGCACCATTCCCACCCCTCTGCCCCCCCCTCCACTAACATCCCTGCTCCAGAGGGAAACAGAAGCCACAAACGTCAAAGTGTTCAGCTGTGCTGCACTGCCCTGAGCCACCTCCCTCTCTCTCCTCTTCAGTGTTCATGGGTGGAACAAACTGCTTTAAGCAGGTGAGACTCCAGGAACTGGAGCCCAGGACAGCAGCAGGAGAGGCAGAGCCCTCCAGAAGCTGGAAGGCAGGAGGGATGCTGGGTTTGGGGCAGGATTTCAGCCAGGTGATGGTGAACACCCCACTTCCAGTGCAACACACCTCGGCTGCTGCCTGCTGGACCTCCCCTGGACCCCAACACAGCCAACCCTGACCCCCCAGCAGTGCTCAGCTTCACCCTGAGTGCAGGGCAAGATGCCCCAAGCCAGCAAGGGGGGGCTTTTCCAGCAAGCTTTCTCCAAAACTTGTCCACATTTCATGTCTTTTCCCTGCAAAATGGAAGTGAATGACCAAACCTCAGAGGCTTTTGCAGCAGAAGTTGTTTTCTGGCCACCTGCACTTCTGCTGTGCCACAGACCAAGGGGAGTCTCCACAGGCTCTGCCCACCTCCAGACCATATCCCAGCTGCAGAAAGTCCCAGTGGTGCAGGACTGGAAAACCCTCTGGCCCAGTCCACAACCTGCTTAATACCCCGTTGGGATCCATATCCTGCAGCCTGGAGATCAGACCCTGAAACACGTGGAGCAACCCAGGGAAAGGTGCAACAGCCTTGCAGAGAACGTGCTTCACTCCTGCTCACTTCCATTTCCCAGCTTGTGCTCTAAAAATCAGCTCTCCCCTTCCTTTGTCTTTCCTCCCCTGCTCCCATTGACCCTGTTTCCAAAGCAGCTGAGGAAACACAAGGCAGGAGCCCAATTCTGGTCACCAACAGGAAACCAGCTGGAGATGTTGCAGGGAGCTCATTTTGGGGTAGAAAAAAAAAAGGCAGATGTTGAGCTCTCAAGCTGAGCACCAATCCAAGCAGGAAACACTTGAAAACAGGTTGAAGAGACCGTTCCAGGAGCAGTAACCACACAAGTGCTCAGCAAACCAGCACCTCCCAGGGGCACGAGGCTCAAGGACCCGCACACGAGCTGCTCCTGCAGCTCAGCCCTGAGCACTAAGACACCTCCAGCTGTGTCAACCCCTCCTAGCAAAGTACCACTGAGGTCAGCTGAGATCAAACCAGAGCCCTCTGGCAAGAATCAGCAGCTCCCAGTGAGGGCAGAGCTCAGGTCCAGCCACCTCAGGCCATCAGGACCTGTCCTACACATCCCCTGGGCCAGAAACTCCTCCAGCACCTCCTACCCTATCAAACAGGAATCAACAGCAGGAGAATTCAGCAGCCTTGTGATTTATTTTTGGTTTTAAACTAGCTACAGCAGTTGCAGGCAATATTCCAGCCACATCCAATGGTATTTTGACACTTAATAACCAGATTTTCCTCTGCTAATCCCCAGCAGCAAGCTCCTCCAGTGGGATGTCCATCACCACCACAACCAGCCCCACAACAGCCAAATCCCTCCCCAGCCCCACAATTCAAGATTCTGGTGTTTCTTCAGGATCAGCCTCCTGCCCCAAGGCAGGGGAACTAACCCCAAAGGGAGAGACACTTGGGAAAAAAACACCCAAAACCTCAGCAAAAACCACCAAACGTTTTCACTGCTGAAGAAAAGGCAAAAAGAGGGCACAGAAAACTCAGTCCCTGGAGTCTAGAGCCCTTCCCAAAGCATCTCCCACATTCAGGACTTATAGACTTGTTTGTTCTCTTGGGGTTTTTTTAATCTAGATCTTTGTTTGTAGAACAAATTCTCTCGGTGGCCATTTCAAAACAAAAGCACCTCTGTCTGTGCTGACTTGACAGCAGCGGATTAGGATAAAATAACTTGTGATTCAGGAGGGGTTTTTATTTATTTATTGTGAAAACACAAAGCCCCTGCTGCATCTGATCACCAGGCCAGCTGAGGAATGATTGCTGGCACACACCAAGAAATTCAGCTTTTGGAAAGAGCCTTCAAGAAAGGGATTGACACGTAAAAATAAAATTAAAAATGGGATTAACTTCTGGACTGTGACATGATGCATTTCTGCTTTTCATGCCTCACATCCATCTTCATTTTTGGTTTTGACTGGCTGCTTGCACAGCTCAGAGGCTAAGAAAGCTCTGGACAGCCTGGGACATTTCCATAAGCTTCCCACTGGATTGCAATGCCTGAGGTTCAACATGGGCTGGTCAGGACACTGAGGGAGAAAGGAGAGCAGCCCCAGCCCAGCCTGGACCATGTTTTTTTACCACTTATCCACAATCCAACAGGATTTCTCTGATACAAATGACTTCTAAGTGCTCAGGTGATGGACTGACCCCCTGGCTCTTTGCAGCCACTCAGCCCTGCAGGTGTTGAAGCCACGTGCAGTTTCCCTTGTAGAGCATCACTGCTGAGCCTGGGAGGGCACCAGAAAACAAGGAGTGGAGCAAATGGCCCCAAAAGGCAGGATCACCACCCCTGGGAAGGGTGGCAGGAGCAGACACTCATTAGCCACAACCACACCTGACTAAACACACACAGGCTGGTAAAGCAGCTCAAAGCCAGAGGTTTGGGGAGGAGATGCTGCCAGCTGGCAACACAAAATCAAGCCATGAATAATCCTGGAACAGGCCCACTAAACCAAATGCTCCATGGAGAGAAGAATGGCAGCAGGGTCCAGGCTCCCTCCCCAGGTGGGACCACCAGTGTCCTCCAGAGGGTTTCCCACTGGGAGCCCAGTCCCAGGGGATAGTCAAGCCTGGCCTTCAACACGTGGCAGATCCAAGGACTCCTCCAAAACCTCCTGAACCTGCCCAGGAGGTTTGTGTCAATGCTGACCCAATTCCCACTGTTACTGACATGAAGAGCTAATCAAGCCCAGCAAAATTAACCTGCTCTTCAGACCAGCATTTTGCACTTAGCAGCAGCAATAACAGCCAGCAGTATTTCCTGGGTTTCCTTGGGATCCATAATGCCTGCTAATTAAATGCCAGTTTGTTATTCAAACAGACCTATTGAGGCTCTGCAGCAACAAGAAGCAGCATATCCATTTCTGGTCCCATCAACCTGCTCTGACTCCAACACTGGGTGCTCCTCCCCATGAGCCCAGTATCACCAGCCAGGTGGGACCTCTGGAGTCCCTTCCTTCACCTCCTGCCCCAAGCAGAGCAGACCTGAGGACTAGATGTGTTTTGAAAGCCTCCAAGGATGGAGTTACCGCATCTCACCAGCTTCCTGGTGGCTTTGACTCCCTGTCACCCGGTGACACCAGTGAGGTTGAGTGTGTATCATCCCTCCTGCCTTTTTGGAGGAGGTTTTTCCAGCCATCAGTCTCCCCTGGGGAGCAGGGAGTGTTCAAGGAGCCCTGCTGGAAGCAGCTGTATCACCCTGGGGGATGGCCAGTCCTCATGGACAGGTATCATGGGAAAGGCTGAACCCCAACAGCTTGAACCTGGTGCTAAAGAGCCAGAAAAAGGCCTCTGGGGTGGGGCCTGCCAAGCCAGTTAACAAAGAATACAACCAAAACAGCATCCTTCCTCCAGAAGCAGCAGAGAGGATGCTTTTGTGTTTCAGAAGAGTGTGTGAAACTGTGAACAAACCAAGTCTTCCCCAACAAGAGGCAGGAGAGCAGCCAAATCCACAGCAATTCATCTGGAAGCAATACCTTCCTTGGCAAACCCATCCAGGGGAAAGAAAAAAGAAATAGTTTTACACGGAATTGATGAGCTCTCTAACAAAGCAGGACTTGCCTCTGCCAGTTGCAGCTCTAAGAAGCCAAAAGCTTGAGAAATTAGAGAACCTGCCCAAACCTCAGAGCCAAACCCTCAGCACAGCAGACCCAGGGCAGCCCAGGCAACCCCACCAACCCCCAGCACTGAGGGTCTGACCCCTCAGCCTCCAGTCACCAAGGTTTTCCCAGCCCTCTGCCACAAGCCAGGCTCAGCACCCACACATCCCCACGGTGACACCTCGGGGTGTCACCACAGCCAGGCTGGAGGCACGTGGGCCATGGCAAGAAGGGCCAACAGGAGCCTGGGCCATCCTGACGTCCCTGAAACAGCTCCGGAGGGAGCCTTGGGAATGGAGACATCCAAGCACCATCCTCCCTGCATCCCTGGTGCCCACCAGCTCGGGGGGGCCAGGGAGCATCCCAGGGGCTGGGGGGGCCAGGGAGCATCCCTGGGGGGGCAGGGAGCATCCCGGGGGCTGGGGGGG